TGCCGGCGCACACGCACGCGCCCGCGCCCGCGGCGGCGCCGCTGCCGCACCCCCACCCCGCCGCGCCGCCTCACGACCTGCCCGCCAACTTCGCCAAGCTCTACCTCGACGGTACGTCCGCAAACAGCCACCGATCAAAGACTATATTATTGTGTAGGCATACCGCTGACGATATTTTATTTATCATCTAAACTTATATCGCAGGGCGAAAGAAACAGGGCGCTCCCCCCACTGCCGGCGCGGCGCCGACGCCCCCCTTGGCCGCCACCCCCCTGGCGGCGCCGCTCCCCGCGGCGGCGCCCCTCCCGGCCAACGTGGGCAAGCACAAGTGTGCGCGGAAGCAGCGCGCCGCGCCCCCCCACTCCGACCACCACCTACCGCCGCCGCCGGACATACTCGACGAACAGGTACACACTCGCATTTGCTATCACGATATACACTTGGCCCGTGGTCCACGAGACGGTTTATGCAAAAGAATCAATTGAATGAGCTTTTATTGTACATCTGCGAGCAGCCTATCACGGGTATTAGTGCAACAAAGCTTTCCACCGTCTCGTGTACAAAGGCTGTTGGTATATAAATCATATCGTAAAATCCGTACACCGTACACGAATGTTATAATCGGAATGCGGTTCCGGATTTCAACCCGCCACATTGTCCTAAACGCCCTCTACTCTACCTCCTTCCGTAGATCTGCCTAGATGCGATGTCCAAGCTCTCCCTTCCCCCCGGATTTACATGGAAGGACGTCACCAAGAAGCGTAAAAATAAAGACGTTATCGACAATGATTTCAATGTGAGTCCCTTTAAGAAAGTTTCGAAACTTTTCAAAATTTAGTTAGTTGTATTTGAATGCATTGAACTTAGATTTTTTTTAAGTAGAAGTAGTGTTTTTTTTTAAAGGTGACGGTATGTGTGGTGTAAAATATCTGTAGTATGCCCATGTATTGTCTACCTATCTATAAAGCAAATACATTGTTTAAACATCTATTATAAACAAAATGTTGTGTACATAGAGAGCTGAAACGTTGGCGGCAACACGCAACGAAGCACTGCCTGAGACTGATAGAAGCTTGCTCGAATTAACTGACTCCAATGGTAAGTACCTGCGATAACTGTCTTTATAAACAATCTCTTGTTTCGTTCAAAAACAACTTAAAAGAAAATTGGCCCATATCAAAAACAAATTGGTTATAGTCGGTAATAAGTGGAACTTGGAACAACAAACTAATTATTAAAGTCCATTATGAGACTTGATTCCATGCAGAATGTATCACAAATTTATTTATATTCTCCCTTATAATTGACTTAACTTGTGATTTTGACGAAAATGCATTGTATACATGACTACATAGAACCCGAAATTGTCTATCGAACTCGTTTTTTTTTTTCGGTAAAATTGTAAGTTACTTAAACTGGGCGCTATGTAACATACGCATATGGAGTAGATAGGTTGGAATAGCTATATAATAAGGCAATGTAGCATAATACATGAGAACGTTGTTGTGAAGGTCCACCGACACTCGCCACGTCGGCTCTACACGCGCTGGACCTGCAGTTCTGCGCACAAGGCAAGTGCTGCGCAGCCACGCTATCGCTACCATAAGGCTGAATGCTACATTTGTCACCACGCTTCATATAAACTGGCTCTATATATTATATTTTCGGTTTACCACTATGTCTTGAACTGTAACTCGTATCAAAATCGTTCTATAAATGACTTATATTCATATATGAAAAAAGTAGACACAGTTAGCGAGTGATGCTTTCGAAAGCTGAGGAACTTACGTCTAACACAGCTATGACAAATATGTCATATTTAGTGAAAAGAGGGGACTTCATAAACTACAAACTATATCTTGAACTGTAACTCGTATCAAAATCGTGCTATAAATGACTTCTATTCATATATGAAAAAAGTAGACACAGTTAGTGAGTGATGCTTTCGACAGCTGAGGAACTTATATCTAACACAGCAATGAGAAAAATGTCATATTTAGTGAAATGAGGGGACTTCATAAACTACAAATGTTGATAGATTACTAACCATGAACCAACCGTATTGCCTGTTCAATTTCTAGCTAATTCTTTAAAAAAATATGTTGACACTTCAACAGATGCGAATTACTGTAAATTCTTTTTAATCAGCGTCTTTTTTCTAACGCGGATTTTGCTCTATACGCGTGTTTTTCTCGCATCGATTTCCGAACACATTTGCTTTTAATTACTCGAGCGGGACAAAATAAACCGACAGACAAAAAGCCCTTATGTCATTTGAAGCGAGGTGAGAAATCTAACATAGCTTTATTGTTCTTCATAAGTCATGACAATATTAATTACAAGCAATTCCTGCTAAAATACATAATTCACAGTTTTGTTTACCATATCACTTGTGTCCAGTACTAATGTTACCTCGTGTTGTCTACGCAAGCCTGCTTGTTATCTGTTAACACTTAAAATAACATTTGCTTGCTTGAAAATTGGTATTATAGAGATCTTAGATTCCGGTTCACTGCAAAGTTTCATGTCAATTTACTAAAAACAATGGTGCCTAATTTACATTTTTAACAATAATCAAAACTAAATTGTCCTTCATGCGTTATCGATGTTCATTATTTATTTTTTTCGTCGTTTGTTTAGCTAATAAAAGGGTACCGCGCAGTGGCGAAGGGTGGATATTTGTAGAAGGTAAGCCGATGTATAAGGTACGCAGCAATTGCTGCAATACAAGCCATTTTCTGTTCAATACCTACGACAAAATTGGAGAACAAATTTCATGGGCAAGCCAAGGGAAATTGTGTTATATGGACCCTTCGCAACTGGCACCCCGTAATAATGACACAATGTTCGAAATTGCTTACGTGCTTCACATCTCTACGTTCACAACCAGCAGCAGAGAAAACTGACCCCTGTATTAAAAGAGTTAATGGTGGACGATCACATTTCTCAGTTGCTAATCTTGTTACCTGATATCATTATTCTCCTTGCAAAATCCTAACTCATGAAAAACCCAAGATAATTTGTATACTTTTCATAATGCACTAAAGTATTTTGTTTATTTACATGTAATAAAACTTATTCAAATTCAGCAGGAGTGACAACGACTATCCACCTCCCCACCACGCCCCCGTATCCCCCTCCGCAGCAGCTGTTCCCTGTGCAGCAGTTAGCCACTAACCTTCACCAGGTGAGTTTAACCATTAAGATGGCGAGTCTCGCAGTTCGCTTAACAGGACTATTGCAGGTACTTGAACTTTAGAACCCAGGTCCTGAACCCCAAATTCCTAAATTCCCAAGGCACAGAAATTACAATCAACATTCATGACAAGATTCACTTGACAACGTTCCATCATCAAGCATATTGATGATATCCAATATAACCACTTTTACTGGCAACCTTACTGACATTTGTGTTGCGAGTTTTAAAAAGATATTTATTTATTGGCTTATATTCGTACTACTGTAACTGCGAATTAGACGTTAATACAGTCGGTGCCCTAAGATACCAAGCTCTTAACGGCTCTTTTCGTTTCGAGAGTCTTCTTAGGCAGCAAATTTGTGCATTGTACACACGTCTGCGTGTAATGTACGCACAAACTTTGAACGCACCACCGTTTCAAACTGCGGCCTTACGCGTTCAACAGAAATATGAAAAGGAATTCCAGCTTCATCAGATTGAAATGAGTGTTTATTTATGTAAATATAATTAACGATCATAAAATTTCTTAAACCGTCATTTACTAATGATGTCACGTGAAAATGAATTTTACGGCTCTAAGGTTAAAGGCCTAAGAACCAAATAGTCAGTTAGGAGATCAGGTATCTCAGGACATTGACTGTACGATGACACGCAGTAGCCTACCCCTTTTACATGGATATAAATTAAGAAAAACTATTAGGCAAGTCCAATCGACTGAGAGACCTAGCTCAACAACAAACAATGAACTGTGTTTTTGTAGTGTAGAGTAAAATAAAGTTATGTTTACCAACTGCAATATAGAGCAAATCTAAAAACAGGGAAAAGTGACTGAAACACGCACACCCACCTCATAGTTTAAAGTCTTTGACTTCCCAGTGGAAAATTCAGCTGGATAAGGTCGCAACAGGAGGAAGCAACAGTTCACCATAAATCGCAGTGTGAATACAAATGATAGCGAAAATTAATGATGAATAATTTTAATGCACACGATTCAGTGTCATATTATAAGCTTATAAGAGTGACGCCAGATGAGCGTAATTTCGTAAGTTGCGTTTTTTTGAGTTGCGCAGTTTGCGCTCGACCGAAATTCTTTTGGAGTGCCAGACGAACGTATTTTATTCAGTTGCTTTTAAGCGTTTATGCGGGGTGTTTGTGTCGTAATAGTGTAATGGATCCATCAAAAATTGTATGCATATATGGAGCATTAGAAGGCTATTATTAGAAAAAGAAACTGGGTACATCCACTCAATATGCAACGTTTAAAGTATGGGCAGTTTTATATATTATATACAAGTTTATGTGAACATTCCGATTCATTTGTTAAATACTACCACAAGCCAATAAATGTTTTTCAAGAATTATTAAGCCTAGTAAAACCTTTTATTACTAAGTTAGATACAAATATGAGACGCGCCATCAGTCCAGAGGAAAGACTAATAATAATAATCAAGTAAGTTGTTCAATTATTTATGAATTAAACTCCGTACTGAACATTTTCGCAAGAAACGTCTATACTCACGCGCAACCTATACCAAAGTGACTACTTCCCTCTCCCTTGCTTCCACCCGCGCCAGCCCGTCACATGATGCGACCGAAAGTCAGTCGACATTACGCCCGTAAGTCGGTACTTTAATAATAATAATAATAATAAGTACTTTTATATGAAACTGAATACAGCTCAAACTACGCAACTCAAAACTCAACTTTTACCGCCACGCCATTTTTTAAGTATGTGGTGCTCACAGACACACGACCACAGACAATTTTTTTTTTAGTTCTCGCCATTACGGCTCTAATGCTAGTGAGCAGTTGACTGTATACATGATCAACGTATGTAATTTTAGGTTGGCTTTATGACAGTTTTTCTTTCGTAGTTATATTATACTTTTTGTTAGTAGATATTGTGTTGTCCTTATGAAAGAGTTCGTCCACAGTAGTACTGCCACATTACTTATTTCTGCCGCCAAGCAGTAATGCCAGCATTACCGTGTTCCGGTTTTGAAGGGTACGGGTGCTGGTGAAATTACAGGCACATGGGACTTGTCAACTTATGTCTCAGGGTGACGGGCGCAATGGTAGTGGCCCTCAGATCTTTGTAGAATATATTTAAAAAGTTAGAGCATCGGACAGAATTGGATTCACATAAGAGTAACACGCTCCACAAACGAAAAACTTTCTGGATTCTTTTTTTAAAGTAAAGCAAACGTTTCCGAGCATGTTTGAGAAAAAAATATTTACGTGCTCCAAATTTCAGGCCGTCACAAACCACCGTACCTTGCGTTGGCTCCAATAAAGACATGTCGGGGTGGCTAAACGTATTAGGCCTTCGCTGTTTTAATATAGATGTAGAGACATACCTGTATCCCAATCTCTGCTCCCTACAGTACTTTTAGTGAAGAGTGCGCTCAGTGAACAATGGATTGCAGTGGACCTTGATTGGGGCTATATGTTCTATTGAATAAATGAGGTAACTCCAATCAGTCGTCGTGTTGCCGTAATCATTCACTACTTAGACATGACTTTTAACACCTTAATACTAATAATTATATTTCAGTTAAATGTTTTTACCGAAATTTATGATGTAAATGTGATATAAATGCAAAATGTAACGAATGCTGTATTGGGCAAACATTGATAAGACATAAGTTGAATCACGAAACCGTACGCGAAAAGAACTACAAATTGTTTATCTAACATTAGTCATAATGCTTGATGCGTTGAGCGTGTATTTTAGACCGTTCCCATTCAAGAACGTCCGCGCGCGAAGGTATCCCGCAAGTGCAACAAGTTCGGCTGCAAGTTGTTGCTGCTTGAAGCGTTGCAGAGACTCGGGCAGCACGTCAGTGACGTTGGTGCTGTCGCGGTAAACATTTCTCTTAATAGTTTGTCGTAGTTTTTCTCGTGCCGGGAATATCCTTCCTATTCATTACCCAATCCTAACATTTATCCCCGTATTGACACTTGTACATCTTCACCTTAAATAGCATACTACGTATACACGTTATAATACGTACGTATGTATAATACACGCATTTCTCAACAAATGCGTGAAGCTTCTAATATTTGTATATTCACAAGCAAGTTCCTGGATTCTGGTATATATTACTTTTAGATATTTATTTAATGATGACCTGGTGTGTTGTGACGTAGCAGCTGCAACCCGACTGTTCGCAGCATCAGCTACAGGAGCTGCAGCAACAGCAACTGCAACAGCTGGCTGCGCAGCAGAAAAAGCCCCAACAGTACGTGCAAGATCTGCAACCAAGGCCGGACGCCTTTTTAACCCAGGTAACAATAATTTCATATTGTCTTGATGATATGATGTAGTTTTTATGAACAACATCTGCTACCGAAAATCACATTTTGGTCAAGTATGTACTTTTTCAAGGTTTACCTACTGACCTTGGAAAACTACATTAATACGTGTTTCAAAGATCTGACTAGATAACGGAATCACACATCTATACAGGGTTATTTTTAAAATACTAACAACCTCGCAGCACTTACTAACATCATAAATAACAACTTTTGTTTCATGACTTTTTACAAAACATAATAAGTTTACCAAAAATAAACTTTTGATCTTTTATTGTACTATGTATGTACCAGAGCTGAAATGATATCTATTACTATTTTTAGTATCCGGCCGGAAAATTCATAATCAGTACGCCAAAGAAATTGATTTTTTGATTATAGGCGCTAGTAATAGGATAAACAGCAACTACAGGATCGTTGACAATCTGTTTATTACTTGTAACTGAGAGAACTATGAAGTTATATAACGGTATCTGTTGTAATTTAGTACTCAAATTTCAATAAAGGTAAATTATGTACGCAATATAGAACGATGAAGACCTGTTTTTGTGCATGTAGTGGTAGAAGTTGGTTCTGTTTATTTTCATAAACGAGACCAGTTTCAGATAACTGTTTTTCACTATAAACTCTTGCAAACTTTGTTAAATTTTAAGTACTACTTGGTATTGCCAGTCGACCAAATGAAAGGATCGCGATCACGATCGATTTGAACTAGAGATGAAACGTATAGTGATCTGGCCGGATACCGGATATCCGGCGAGCTCCTGGACCGAATAGCCGGATATCCGACCGTCGAATATCTGACCCACCCGCCGTAAACAAGTCGCGACCGGTTCAGCGCCGTGATTGATTGATTAGTGATTAGACGATTTGATTTGTTATGGTCACTGGTTTTAATAAAAACGTTTAATTTATCCCATAATACAAACAAATACATGACAAAAAATGTTAACAGTGAAAAAAAAATCGCAAATTTGGCAATATTTTAATATCAGTGCTGTTAGTTTGTTGTGCTGAATGCAAATTTCTCGCGGTGGAGAAGGAAAAAATGCAATTATTGCATTCTCATATTAAAATTTGTGAATATAAATTATTGAAATGTGTTATTGTTTAGCCGGGCGATGAGGCGGGCGGTGGCGCGGCCGGCGCCGAAGCGCGCGAACTGGGCGCGGTGCTGGCTTACCTGCAGAGAGAGGTCCCTTCCCTTGTCGCCTTACCCCCCAACGAGCTGCGATCGCTTGTACTACAGGTGAACACATTTATGCACTAGTTAATATAGATATATATAATACCATAGTATAATAAAACAAGTACGGCAATACCCGCCTGTTCTGCATTTTTCATTTTTACTTATTTAGATTGTGCCAAAAATCGAACTATCACTATTAATTTAAGCCTTTTTTATTTCGTAAGTAAATTAAAAAATAAGGGTGATTTTTTTATAATGTTTTTTTTTATTTAAAAACCGGTGCGCTTATATCAAATAGCGATATAGCCATATAGTCTGATCAAAAACCGATAACTTTATTTTGTTTTTGTTTTTTTTAACCTCAACAGATACACACTTGAATGCGATATTTAGGTTACCAGACAGTACAGCCAATTTGTTGGCATTAGTAGCCAACAAATGGCATACTTCGTTCAACATTAATTTAGTCAACTATCCTCTCCTTCGTCACTCCCTCAATGCTGAGGATCGTGACTTTGAACAAGTACTCCGTCAATCAATCTTCTCCACTTCAGTCTGTCTTTGGCGAGGTGGAATGCGATGCTTACTGGGACTGCCAGATCTTCAGCCACCTGGTCACACCATCGTTACGAACTTCGACCTCCAGGTCGTTTGCCCTCAATCCTGCCCATAACAATCACGCTCTCGAGACTATCAGCGCTTCTGCGTGCAATGTGACCAAAGAACTGCAGAATGCGGAGCAAACAGACGGAAAATAAGCGTTTGTCATTTTGCAACTGCAATTCCTCAAGCACGAATATTATAGACATATATTTTTTTCATTTTCTGAAATAATTGTCTTAATGGTTTTATCGGTTTTTGTCCTAAGCCTCATCAGATAAAATAAAGGTCTACGTTAATGGGTATGGTCTGAGGTGTTGTTGAGGTGTCAGCAAAAAGGGCCTTACTCAACATTATGGCGTAATTCAGTAGAACTACGACGCTGATGTTTACTTATAATTGTTAACAATTTCGCGTCTCACAAAAAAAAACAATACATGTACCTCGTTCTACTCTAGATAGATATATATAATATTGATACAAAACGATTCAGGTGATGCAGCAAAAATCGCATGAAATGCTATCAGCGAAGTGCGAGAATGACGCGGTGGGCGAGGCAGAGGCTGGCGGCGGCGGCGAGGCGGAGGCGGACGAACGGCAGGCGCGCCGGTTGCTGGCCGCGGCAGAGGAGGCGCTCGCCGCGGACTGGCCCCGTGCCGACCACCACCACCACCATCTGCACCACCACCACCACCTGGATCTCGCGGTAACTATCACTACTGATATGACACCATCACATAAAATTTGAGGAATATTAACCTCTATATTAATAATTATTAAAAATCATAAACCATAAAAATATGATCAATTCACTACATTTACATTTGATATTTGTTGTAATATGTAATGGTTTTCTCAGACGGGTAACGGCTGCCAGTACCGGTTGCGGCCTCCGTCGCCGGGCGAAACGGGCGCAGGCGCGACACGCGCGGCGGCCTTGGGCGCCGACGACGCGGACAAGCCTGACGCCCACTTTGCGCCGCCCGCGCAGCCCAAGCACCACCCGCCCCACCAGCCGCACCCTGCACACGCTCATTCCCTCCCCACCACCTACACTGAAGTCTACAGGTACTTACACATTAAATATTTTTTTGGTAAATGGTAATATAAAACAATTTCTCTATTAATCTTTCGCGACTCGGTCCTTAGGTCGTTCACCGCTCCTATGACGACCAGTGCGGGCGCAGGCGCAGCAGCGGGCGCGACTGCTGCGCAGCAACCGCAGCCGCATCCGAAACGCGAACAACATCACCATAACACCTCTGTCACCGCCAAGAAAAAGGTACAACTACAGGAAGGACACACCGACAAAGCGTCGCCTAAAAATGTATCGAACAAGGGCACTAACGCGGTGCATGCCGTATCGGCAGGGCCGGTTCGGCGTGGGGCGCGGTGGGCGCAGCGCGGCGCTGACACTGGGCGCGGGCGAGGCTTTCCCCGGCACGCCGCCCGCGCCGGCGCCTGCCGCTTACTGCGCCATGGACGTGGACGGCGAGACCGATTCCAACCGCGACACGGCGCTCACGCTGGCCTGCGCCGGCGGCCACGAAGACCTCGTCGAGCTGCTGCTTTCGCGCGGCGCGGACATCGAACACCGCGACAAGAAGGTAAGAGCCTTCAACCATTCTGAAAGAGATGTTGACGATGTGTCTCGTGATATTTAAATATCGTTTTATCCCTTAGAGTAAAATTACAATGTACCACAGATCCAAAATTTGTCCTGGCAACAAGATTTCCTATTAATTTATAAACCACGATATATTAAAAACTACCTGTAATTTTCATGAACAAAAATTACCCCTTTTGTAGTGCAGAAGTAACAACATGAATCGTACTTACAGGGCTTCACACCTCTAATCCTTGCCGCGACAGCGGGTCACGAAAAGATCGTTGAGATCCTCCTGAACCACGGCGCGGACATAGAGGCGCAGTCGGAGCGCACCAAGGACACGCCGCTGTCACTGGCATGCTCCGGCGGCCGCTACGAGGTGGTGGAGCTGATCCTCAGTCGCGGTGCCAATAAAGAGCACCGCAACGTGTCCGATTACACGCCACTCTCGCTCGCCGCTTCAGGGGGCTATGTCAACATCATCCGTTTGCTGTTGCACCATCAGGTGAGAGTACAGTCGCACGTATCATGTCACGCACATGTGACAGGTCGCGCACTAACTCATAAATCATGTGGTATTGTGATGCCAATAACAACAAGCTTACCATGCCCTTAATTTTAAGACACCGTACCTGCCTTATTCGCCGAATCAAATATGTTTTTATTTTATTATATAAAAAGTAATAGCATATACGTGTATCGCAAAATTTTATACATTTGTAGCCATTATATTATTTAATTAATAAATATATATACACACAATTTATATTCATACTGTAAATACGGAATAAACACTTCTTACGATAAATATTAAAAACCCATAAAGTCATACATGTGAGAATACACTAGGTTAGCGTATGATAGTATAGCCGATTCATTATTATAAATTGTCAACCTTAATAAAAATATAATAAGTATAATAGTAATATATATGTTGCTTATCCCGTGGAATTCCTTATCTAGGCGGAGATAAACTCCCGCACGGGCTCCAAGTTGGGCATCTCACCGTTGATGCTGGCTGCGATGAACGGGCACACGGCGGCCGTGCGGTTGCTGCTCGACTGCGGCTCCGACATCAACGCACAGATCGAGACTAACCGAAATACCGCGCTCACGCTCGCTTGCTTCCAAGGTAACCTCTTCGTGTATCTCCATCTGCACTTCTTTTCTCTTGCATTTGATGATGATTATTTTTGTTAATAATAATTGTAAGTAGGGAAAACACTCGTATACATTTTTATATACGATTAGAAACCAGGTTATTCCCTTCTGATTCCCAACAACTGATCCATCGCCAGTTTTAAATCCCAACTGATCCACTCTTTATTTTGCAACTCCCAACGGATCAAGGGAAAAAAGAACTTAAAATTAAATATTCATTTATTAAGCAATGGTAATCAAATGTTATAATTATGACTATTTATGACATACAAAATTTTTGTGACAGTTAATTATTATTGACATATTGCAAATTATAAGTAACAAAAAATCAATCTAAAGGAATATTAAAAATGTATTTTTTTGTAAACAGTGACTAACTGAGACATCCCCAGTCAAAAGTTGGTTAGTAATTTTTTTGTGCCATTTATATGCACAATTTGCAAATTTGCGTCATCTCTTAGAGCTTATAAAGTTTTTCTTGTTAACTGTACAAAAATAAGCTTATAAGTTGGTACTTATGAGATTAATGTATAATTTTTTATCCGGGATCCAATGGGAATAGAAAATAATATAAAATAAACCGGATCCACCAGGGGACCCGATTTCAGGGATCAAATGGGAATAACCCAGAAACCATAACACCAAAAAATATCAAACCTAAGGCTGGTTACACACGGTTACATCGCTACCCTTGCAATTTATAGGAGATTACATCGATACAAACGCGCGACTGCATCGATACAAACGCGCGATTGCATCGCTACACTTGGGATTTATAGACTATTGAATTGCATCGCGTTAAAATCTCGTGCGTGTGTAAAGGTAGACGATTAGCGACTGCATCGCGTTTGCATCGCTGCTAAAAGTCGCCATGTGTAATCGCTTTAAAATTAACGATGATTCAGCTCGTTTGCTCTCAAGCATAATGGGTGATGGTGGCTCTCACGTCCATCTCCTTCGTTCGAAGTAGGACACTTATGCGCTCGTGATACTTGCCATGCCATGTATGTAACACTACGTACACTAAGGGTCATATTCTAGAACTCTACTCAATGCTCAAGTCAGAACTTGAGTATGATTCAAAGCACTAGAAATCATACTCAAGTCCTTGCCATTAGGGTCGTATTTCCAGTGCTTGAAATCATACTCAAGTCTGCTCAAATCCTAACTTGAGCATTGAGTTGAGTTCTGGACCCTAAGACGTAGTACAGCTACTATGCCTCCATAACGTATCATGTAAATTAACCCGAATTAATGGAATCGTAGAATTAAATTTGTTCTATACTTAAAACATGCTAACCTTGTTTAAAACATTGCAGGACGACACGAAGTTGTAAGTCTTCTACTCGACCGGAAAGCGAACGTGGAGCACCGAGCGAAGACCGGACTGACGCCTCTTATGGAAGCAGCCAGTGGGGGGTACGTGGAAGTAGGGAGGGTACTATTGGACAAAGGCGCGGATGTCAACGCGCCCCCTGTACCGTCGTCACGCGACACTGCCCTCACTATAGCTGCTGATAAAGGACATACAAAATTCGTCGAACTATTGCTGCAAAGGTTAGATTTTCGTTTAATTCTCAAGCATCGTTAAATAGCCTTTTTTTCAATTTGAATATTATTTTTATAATTTTTGTAACGGATTGTAAAGGCTTATGAAGAGTAGGTTTTAGTAAATATAAAAATAACTGCTTTTATCTAGGTGAGGGACATGTAAAGTGTGTACACTGAGTAACATGTAAAAAAATCGTTCTTTTATGAAGACGAGCGGCGGTAGAAGTGAAGAACAAAAAAGGCAACTCTCCGCTATGGCTGGCGGCTAATGGCGGACACCTAGCCGTCGTCGAAATGCTCTACGCAGCCGGCGCCGACATCGACTCACAGGACAATAGAAAGGTAATCCACTTGCGCAATTTGCCATTAACGTGTCGAAAGACACTCATCGGCTTGGACGCTATTGAAGGAGGTCTCTTGGAAGTCTCGAGGCAATATCACTGTACTAAATTGAATCAGTTTGTGTGTTCTGGGTAAGGACCGCAAAATTATAGTTACCCTGATATTCACTGCGAAGTCCCAAGGTAACCAGAAAAGTCTTGTATATTGATTATTTTATTATTATTTGACTACCTCCACGGTCAAGTGGCATGCACACCGGTTTTCATGGTGTCACTATCTCAGGCCTTTTTTTTTTTTTTTTTTGTGAATCCTTTATGGATATCCCCGAGCCCGGGCGGCTCGAAGGTTATGTGGGAGTCCCGGCGCCCTGAAAAGGGCGCTGCTCCTCGGTCTAGCATGGACCCAGGGGTGTACCCACTAAACCCCATCGGTTTGCCTCTCGCCGGGTTTGTGCCGGCGCCGTGGGATCATCTCTATTTCACCACGACGCCGCCCGGCCGCCCCGGCCACTATACCGGGGCTCCCGCGCCTATGGAGGAGAGGATCGGTTTTCTCCGCCCCTCTCCCCAGACGATTGCGGCCGTGCAATGCGAACAGGGGGCCACTATCTCAGGCCCTGGCACAAACCAACATCATTCGTTTATATTAATACATCTTCCGACTAAAGCACATCAGTCAAATTCATTTGTTACTTCATTAATTTGTAACTTAAATTCTAGTGGGGTATTTCTCAAATTTATCATTCACTTCACATTTTCCAACACTGTAAGCAATACAAAAAATATGTAATTGTATATTAAAAAGTGACGCACTTTTTTGACTTACATGCTTTTGTCCGTTGACACTAGGTGCATGCAACCAATAGAATTATTTTTTATTAATTATTATTTTAAAATCCAACTTTGATTTCCTAGGTCAGTAGTTTTGTCTTACGATACAGTTTCCGGAAATCCGGAATTCGAGAAAGTAATCAATTAATATTTGGTGGTTTTAACAACTCTACTCCTCATAACTATATCCTATACATGCACTGGCTTACAAATAAATGGACGTCGGGTCCGCGCTAAAAAGTGTCCGAACTTACAGGGCGTTAAAATCGTATACAGAGCGTCAATCACGCTTTAGTCTAGGTTTTAGGTAGGTTAGTAAAATCTTGTAAAAATTACTCAACTAAAGTGAAAAAACAGGATGGTATATCATATTTTCAGTAAGTACTACATTGTGTTATCATAGTTATCATTTAAAAGTGTTATTTTATGCACTAGTATATATAGTATTTAATTTATATTTAAATTAATCGTAAATATAAATTACAATAGTAATCAAAATAGTCAAATAGTTAACTGTCTCTTTCCGACTAATTGCTTGCGTAAAAGACTGAACGAGACCCATCACGTCAATTTCAATTGTTTGAAATCATTGACTTACAATTATAAGGACGTCGGGTCGCGCTAAAAAGTGTCCGAACTTATAGGGCGTTAAAATCGTATACAGAGCGTCATTCACGCTTTAGTCTTCGTTTGTTCGACTGACAGCGCGCTTGTCAATGATGTAGTAAATCCTTGTAAAAATTACTCAACTAAAGTGAAAAAACAGGATGGCATATCATATTTTCAGTACGTACTACATTGTTATCATAGTTATCATTTAAAAGTGTTATTATATGCACTACTATATATATAATTTAATTTATATTTAAATTAATCGTAAATATAAATTACAAAAGCAATCAAAATAATCAAATAGCTAACTGTCTCTTTCCGACTCATAGCTTGCGTAAAAGACTGAACGAGACCCAACACGTCAATTTCAATTGTTTCAAACACAAGCGTTTGAAATATTTAGAACAAAAATTTCATAGAGTCACTTTGATGGTAATGTTATTATTAAAATATTTTTAATACTTTAGTAATACTTTCAAATATTGTTGTACTCTTTCTACGACTTGGGGTTACGAATCAGAAGACCGAAAATACATTTGCCCGAAATAACGTTTGCATGAATTTCCATAATCCCGAAAGTATTTTTGTAAGTTTTTTTTTATTAGAATATTACAAAACAAACCTAAGCTAACTTAGTCTTTTCCTTGTAATAAGCACCCAAAACTCCCTAAAGAATAACGGTTTTATTATGAATCGATTTTCAGGATGATTAAAACTTGGCTTTATGTTGAATTTGAATTTTAAAAAATCGAAACATCGGTACATTTCTTATGGCATGGCATAATAAATGTACTTATTTCAGTTTTCCTCGAGATCCTATACTTTGCTCACTATGGAGAAATATAATAGCTGAATCGCGACGAGAAGAACATTTTATCCCGAAAATATACAAATTTCTTTGCTCGGCCCATTTCAGACAATCGGATATGTACATAACCAGCAAAGGCTAACGAAAATTAAAAAAAAACAGCTTTGCCAACATTGCTAGTAAGAACTGGTTTTTGGTGCCTAGGCATTATATTATATTTATATTAAAGCTTTGGTATGTGATTACATCAATGAGTGAACTGTGCATAGAAAGGAGATAATACAGGAATTTATCCAGTAAACATAGCTTGAACTTAAGAAGAAAGTGACAAGTATTAACAGAGAACATCTTACACCGTTAAAAATCATTAAAAATCAAAAGTTGGATGAATGACAAAATATACCAACTTAAGAAACAAAAGGTAATTGAAGTAGACTGACATTGCAAATTAACTTTTCTAAATGGTTCTGGTCTTGGTATTCTATTGTAAGACAATCACCTGGTCTGAAACTAGGGAACTCTCTGTACATACTCACCATGAGTATCAGAGCAACAGAATCCCAGAGCAGAACCAATTTACAAAAGTTCATTTCCCAAATTGGTTCTACCGGGTATCGAACCTAGGACCAAGTACGGTGGAATTTATTTCGGGGCACAACTCAGAACACCCAGGCCAAAACAACTTTCGAAAAGTTCACATTTAGTTTTATTGTTGATTGAGCTGATTTTTTACGGTTTTTAAAAAAATTCTCAAATAACTCGAGAAATCGGGTACGAGAATTCTCGAAACTCAAGAAAAAGAAAATCAGACACCCTAGCTCGTAATAAATGGCATTGTATAAAATTCAACATTTTCGTATAAAATTTATTTATAAATAATAAAGGCTACTCCATTATACCTGTGTTCAAGTAGTTTTCACTAGAAGCTACATGTGGTGCATTTTGGTAAGTTTCCAGTAGAAGCAGAATATGGTGTTTTTTTGCACCTTTCAATTGTTGCAAGTAAAATTAGGCGGTACTGCAATGACATTACAATTTAAATTCAAAGTTTTAGCTTTTTCATAATCCTTTACATTACATAATCCTTTATGTTTAAATAGGTTGACTTGGGACATTTTTTTTCGTGGTTTTTGTATTAGACCCGTCGTCCATTTATTTGTAAGTCAATGTATACATGTGTCTATGTATGTGGAACACCTTTCTCCGACCATTGCTTATAACTAATAAGTATTTTTTTAATTGCAAAAGCGAAATGATGAGTGAATTAATTAGATTAACAATATAATCGTAATGTTCGTGAAATTAGAATAACTAGAATTGATATAGTTAGCTGAGATCGAGAGAATAGGCAGAGTGCATTTACAAAGTACCTAAACTTCTGAGAAGTAATACAAAGACTGCATAATACATCCTTCTGAAATCCTGGAATTGTTGTATTGTGTTTTGTTTTCATGTTGTAACTAGTAGCAATCACTTTACTACGGTAGTGTACTTAGAAGAAAAGTTTTGTAATTGTTTTGAAGTTTTTACCTTAAATTTTTAAACACTCTGGAATATCAGAAGGAGGAATTATCCATTCTATATAATATTATTCGAAGTTTAGACACATATACACTCACATATGCTCAAAGGTCCCAGGTTCGTTTCCCGGGCCGAGATAAATATTTGTATATAACGCTCTCACCCAACATAGCCCCGCACTAGGGAAACCCTGTGTCACGGGTGCCATGAATACACACATAGACAACCACAAATTACACCCAAACTCACGAGAGAAATAAATGTAGGCCAGTGCTTTAATTGTAACACTTAGGTAGATAATTGACAAATTGCAGGTATCATGCCTGATGGCCGCCTTCCGGAAAGGCCACACTAAAGTGGTGAAGTGGATGGTCGGCGTCGTCACGCAATTCCCCTCTGATCAGGAGATGACAAGGTACATTCCATCGCATTCGATTACTTGTTAGATACGCTCGTGTCTTTCTTTGCGTTATGAAAAACAACTAAGGTAGGTATACAACATCCAGTAGGTGATGAGCCTTCGTAGGATAGGCAATTCGCCTGCCAATTGTACTAATTATTGCAAAAATAATTTTATTACATAATGGACCTATAGTCTGTCTTTTTTGAAGATGGAGTAAAATGACAGTTTATTGCTTAAAAGTGTTGCCCACTTACAAGCAGTGATTGTAGTCGATAAATATTCTATCGACTACGGACTGGATGTTGGTTACGTTTATGCAATAAATAACCGAATTTGTTTCATTTAAATCATCTTCGGCCCATTATTCGTCCAACTGCTGGGCACAGGTTACTTTGAATTGTTAATTTTTGCAAATTGATACGTACATGCACCACATTTACAACTACGGCTATTAAAAATACGAAGAGGAGACATATTTTAAAGTTTTTAATTTTAATTTAATAAGTACGTAAGCAAATCCACCTATCGTTATTAAAATGTATATAAATAAAAATTTATTTCGATGCCAATAGGCCTACTGTCAAAATATTTATCTTCTATAATATAATATTTATAATATTTTTCTTCACAATCGCTCGATGAAATTGTCGACAACAACTACACGACTAATTAAAATTTTATATTAAACTGGCAACTTTGCAAACTGTCATTTTACTATTTTCAAAAAATACCAACTATAGTTGTGCGTCGTTTATGGACTAAATGGAAGGCTGTAATGATTCCATAACAATATACCCTTCCACTCAAAACTTACTTATGAGTACAATTAGAAAAGTTATTGAGTCGTGCGATTCAAAGTTATCGGTAATAAAGTGATTTTTGTCAATATTAAACATAATAATGATACCCACTCGAGATGTCGAGTCTTAACATGCCGTTCGTTGCAGGTACATTTGCACGATCTCAGACAAGGAACTTCTGGACAAGTGCCAGGAGTGCGTCCGCGTGATCCGCGCCGCAAAGGAGACTCAGGCTGCGCGAGCCAATCAGAACGCGACCATCCTGCTGGAGGAGCTCGACGCCGAACGCTGTCGGGAGGAGTCGCGCAGACAGGCAGCCGCGCGGCGCAGGGAGCGCAAGAAGAAGAAGAAGATGGAGAAGAAGGTAGTATGTATCCCAATGTTTGTTATATACTTAAACATTTGATAGCCGGCAAAGTGTAGTCGGCTACAAGCATCGAGTATATAACCAGAAATCGAGACCAAATGTCATTTAATTTGTTTGACATCTGTTCTGGCAAATCATTACTGTGATAACTGCGCTCCGATTGATCAGCCCGAATTCGAAACAATTGACGGCTGTCATCAATTTGTTTCTTTTCGAAAAGACCAGCTTAACTTGAGCTTTGCTATGATGGACGAAAATTGCAAAATTACACATTTAATTGCCGATGAAATGTGATTCCGTTTGTGTTGTAATTAGACTTTTTGCTGGTTTTTCCACACCACCGAATGGAACAGCCCCGATTCTTAGAGATATTATCTTTATTACAATAATACAGAATATTTTTGGAATATACGGATACGTACACAAAGGTCAGTTGTTGGCGTAGTGCTATTTCAGTTTTCTAATTTGTAATTTCAACGCAAACGAGAATTGATATTGTATAGTGATATAAGATCCATTTGCCAGATGAATTGCCAGGGATGGATGGCCTTTATTTCGTCTCTATTTCTGGTTATATACTCGATAGCTAGAGGTAATTGTAATTGGTCGTAGTGGACCCAATCAATCTAATCTAACCTTTATTTGGTACTGCTTAAACGTCATATTATCATTATATAGGTATGTCTATCATTAGTATGATACTGCAAACACTTTACAATAAATAATTCATTCGTTATCTGAATAACAGAGGTCTGGTATAGGAACGGAGTTAAAAAAGACCGCTTACACCCCCACTCTTGTTCCGCGAAATATGCGAAATGGAATGAGTGGGCCACACGTCGTAAATACTAGCTTTTTAATTTAAACCGGTTTTAATAGGTCTAAGCGGGAACCGGCAACTAGCCTCGTAAAATCCAGGCCCTAATAAAAGCAGTATCTTCAACGAACTTCACTTGTGTTACTATAGGAGGAGCGGCGCAAATTGCAGGAGGAGAACGACAAGAACTCGATGTACAGCGAGAAGGCGCTGCGAGAGGGCGAGTGTTCGGAGGGCGGCGAGCCCGACGACGAGCCGCAGGCAAAAGAGGAGGGCGACTCCGGCATCGACGCCAACTCACAGGTTACTAAATGTTACTATATATAAAATAATAATATAAATTCGGTCTTTTAACTGCTTCCGTGGCCGAACGGTTACCATGCAGGCCGGACTGCCACGCAGAGGTCCAGGTTCGATTCCCGGGCCGGAAGAAATATTAGTATGATCTACATTTATTTCTCTCGTGAGTTTGGGTGTGATTTGCGGCTGTCTATGTATGTGTCCATGGCACCCGCGACACAGGGATTCTCTAGTGGCTATGTTTAGTGTGTGTGTGTCTTCAATTAGCTACGCTATTGAATTTAATTTGGCTCAGCGTCATTCCGATTACCAAATTCACAATAACTCTCGTCTACGCGACAGAAGGCAATTACGATAATGAACAGGATGTAAGATTGTAAATTAAAACCTTTTATAGTATATACATTGTTCTACCTAACATTACATACAATGTTTTATTTGACTGATGAATGCCGTGCAGGGTTCGTGTTCATCGTCAGACGTTAAAGCACCTCCAGCCACCAGCGCCAAGAGCAAGAAGAAGAAAAAAGAAGAAAAGGCAGTTCCTCCACCGCCCCCCGATAAACCTGCCAAGCAGATAGACAAGGTACCGCTAATTGTTACTTTTTATCGAAAGAGAATCAAATATTCTGACTTGAGCCTATCCATAACATCTGTAAGGCCCATTATGACATTATCGGAATATCCTTGCCGTTAGTAACAATTCCGAAATCTTATTTGTAATGTAAACACATCTATATAATCAACGTTAGTAGATAACGAACCTAATTGAATAATCTATCTATAGAGTAAAACCAAGATTGAGATGAAACCAGAAAAAGAAAGCACCCCTAAACCAGACAAGAAAGAGAAAGAGAACGTGGCGCCAAGCTCTCCTCCCGCCACCCCCTTGAAACCGGCGGCGTCCGTGCAGCCGGACCGCAGACAGGATAAGAAAGACAAGTGAGTCGTGTTTGTTTACTTCGTTGATGATTTTGAGATGATAGGCTAAGTCAAACCAGAAGGTTGATAGCAGTATCTCCAAGTTTCTATAACCATCACTCGACAAGCATGTACTTAAATGAACGATTTTGTCGTTGATATAGTCAAGTCTGATTTCGCGTTTTTGATACCAGTCATCGAGTATATAACCAGAAATAGAGACGAAATAAGGGCCATCCATCCCTGGCAACTCATCAGGCAAATGGGCCTTATATCACTTTTAAATATTAATTCTCGTTTGCGCTGTAATCACAAATTAGAAAACTGAAATAGAACAGCGCCTACTACTGACCTGTGTGTACGTCTCCGTATATTCCAAAAAATATTCTGTATTTATTGTAATAACGATAATTTCCTAATAATGCCGTGCTATTCTATTCGGTGGTGTGGGAAAAACAGCAAAAGATCTAATTATAAAACAAACGGAATCACATTTCATCGGTAATTAAATATGGAATTTTGCAATTTTGGTCCATTATAGCAAAGCTCAAGCTAAACTGGGGCGTTACCATGAACTCTTATTACGATTCAGTTTAGGGCTTAAAATGAATCGTTGTGAGATAGCGCTACATGAAATGTGTATCACCATCCCGCTTTTTTGTCGTTATGAACCTATACTGAACTGTAATAAGAGTTCATGGTAAAGCCCCTGGCCAATTTTAAGTGAAAGAATTGACCAAATTGGCTGACCAATCGGAACGCAGTTGTCACAGCAATAATTTGGCAGGATGACATTTCGTCTCTATTTCTGGTCCTATACTCGATGATACTACTTATAGAAACTTCTGAGACACTAGTAAAGAACAACAAAAATTATTATGCGATATTTACTTTGTTTTAAACAGTCATCTCATTTTATGTACAGCTCTTTAAACTTCAGTAGTTTCGGTGTGTGCTCTAATATGAATGCGATTGTATTTCTAACTGCCAGTTTGGTGTTGACATAGCCATACTATTTACAGTAAATGGTGGTAGTGTATAATTTAACCGGCTATGATCTTCTTATAAGTAATATTGTGTGTAACGGTAGTTAGTATGCTTTTCTTTCATTGACCAGTTTATAAAAAGATATCGGATGTCTAAGGCTCTAATAATAAATAGCTCCAGCGTCCATATTAAGTCCGTATCAACTGAGGTGTCACTCAATTATGGAGATACATCACCAGGCCTTCCGTATTCATTATCTGCAGTCGTCGGCATCGTCAATGATATTGAAGTGACCAAAACCGTACTATAATGAGACAAGTAGTGCAGACTCCCGCCTGTACCCCGCGCGTCAAACCTACACGTGACTAGGAGTGTACGATTGTTACTTTTGTTGTACAGGGTCAAGACCACGTCACGCTTGACACTAAAGGTTTAAATTTAACTCTATGCCACTTGCAATTAAACGGACCAAAGTCCAAAGTTTGATGTGCTCTTGACTGTACCTAAAGCTTGTAAACATAATTTTGAATGTGAAAAATCAAATTTTTTGAATGTCCCGATGTTTTACCACCATGATATTAAATTATTTTTGTGAAATTACTCTACTTAGTTTGTTATAATTATTAATACAAAGAAAAACTAAGAAAAAATTCCTTCGATCCGGCTGGATTTGAACCAACGTCTTCCAGCAAACTGTACCAAACGCTATGCCAACTAAGCCATAGAACTAACTAACGGATCTTACGAATTTTTGTATGTGCTTGTTGCAGGTCTCTGTTTTTGGTTGTTAACGACTTTTTTGCCGTTATAGATGTTTGTTAATAGAGACTCCCATAACTCCCATACCTTTTCTACATAGTTTTGATTATAGTGGCTATGGCCGGAAGGGCACTATAACCTGTGCGCACACAGGAACCTTATAACTTCAGGTTCTGACCCCAGCAGGCTTAGCATAAGCCCGAAGACTAAAGTTATTCTCTTCTTCGAACTGTCAATTTTCTCTTGAAAATCTCGACATTTTGGCAGAAGAAGAGATAACTTTTGTATTTGGGCTCATGCTAAGCCTGCAGATCAGCCAGTGTACAGGGTTGTCACTGACTTCATCGGGTTCTCAAGAGGCTAGTATCTCGGGTGAGCCGCCCCGGGTGCAGTTGCAGTACCCTCCCTATTTTCCAGATAGGTACTGGAGCTGTAGGCACGCTCACTTCTACTATCTAGCACATCCTCTGAGTCAATAGAGACAATCGACTTAAGTAAGATCTTAATATCGATCCTGTTATTAAGGCGTTTAGGAATCTTAGTCGACGTCACACAAAAAAATCATTCTTCTTATTACTTCTTTCTTATTTACGAAAACAACATTCTTTGAAGACAAACGACTCTGCCTATTGCTATTTAGATATCCGATGTCTACAGTAGATTGTAATTTAAGCTGCTCGTTTATTATAGTGTGTAGATTAAACCTAGCATTAACCACAACGGGGGCTAAAGGACAGATATTTCTTCCAGAAAACAAGAAGAGGATAATAAGACTTTAACAGTTCAAAGTGTTAAATACGGGAATAGCTCGCGAAAGAGCCAAGTGTTCGAATCTTCACGGCTCAATGTGGAAAAGGACGAGTTTGATGTGTCCGAGAAATATAAAAAACACGGCGCACACCAGTAAGTGCACGCCATTTGAAGTCATCAAATCACGAACACTTTCATTGCAACGGGAAATGTAGGGCCGAAATTTAGGCTGATTTCAGATACACGCTTAGACTGAGATTTAGGGCGTCTTCATATTAGACGCTTGTAGAAGCCCTGCAGTGGGCCTTTATAAAATAAACTTTGACATTAACTAAACAAAAATGGCGGGGTGAGCAAGTTTTTCGAAAGTACAGAACAAACTTTGCCTTAGTATGCAATAAATTTAATTAAACTTTCAATTTCCAACATAATTTCTAAAAAACTTTTTATAGCCCGCCAATTTTGCTTAGTCAAAGTTCATTTTATAAATCTCAACGTCGAGAGTATACGTAGACGGCCACGGCCTGTGTAAACTTAACAAACAAACAAACACACAAGCCGCAAGCAGCAAGCCGAACTGCACATTGGCAGTTACAATGACGAGATGCAAACCGTTTTCATAAACTATTGCGGTCCTCGGATAATTGAGGCCATCAGCGCAATAGTGGTGTAACCGATATTAATTTTTTTCTACAATATTACTTTAAATGACACTAAATACATTATTATTTTATATTTGGATACTATAATTAAATATTTTTTATACAAGAAAATAACTATGCACTTCAGTATATAGAAAACAAATTGAAAATGGATTACACGACTATTGCGCCGATAGCCGTAATTGCCGGTGCAAATTTTTGTGGTCATAATTAAAGCGAAGACCCTCGACACGTATAAAATGTTTGTGTGTCTTTAAGTCAGAACGTAAAGGCTAAGTGCGCTTTGAAATCAGCCTTAATGTATTCCGCAATTGGTTAATGTGGGGTAATACTTACGCCATACAAACCGAAAGCTCTCTTAAGGGTTTTGCTCTAATAAAAGGTCTTACACGAAAACAATAAAAATGCAGACCCTTGCATGGTGCATCTCAATTCTTTTTGCATGTTTTAACCGTATTTCATGTCGCTTAATTGTAGTGTAGATAGCTGATATAATCCGCTTCAACCTTAAATGTGAGATGATGTCTAAATAAAATGAAATAATGACATATTTGTCACAGACAAGAAAACATCGTCGATTTTTATTGGAATATCTCCCGGTTTATAATCATCGACCGCCCCTTAAATAAATTTTATTCATTTCAATTATAAAAACCAGTATAATTAAATCTAACGATAAACATAAAATCGTACACGGGAAACCAAACGCACATCATTCATTTCATTGTCACCGCAATGAAAAAGTAAATAAGCAATCTAAGTGTTACTTATTTGACAAACAGGTGGGAGGCAGAAGGCAAGAGTACCTCGCCGAAGGGAGGATGCGTCGGAGGACGACGCGAAGAGGGTTGGAAGGAAGTCGTACGCAAGTCCAGCGTACAAACTCTGTCTACCGTTGAACCTGGGTAAGTTTGAATTTTTTTTTAATTAGCGACGATGTAGTTGAGTTGAGAAAATAAAAGAGAAAATTGAACTGGCCGGCTATAAAGAGGTCAAGTCATTAGCCGTAGATCGTGAGGAATGGAGTCATTATATACCTTATTTTAAGGTATGTAACATGAATTTGCTTCTGTAGGTGCAAAAAAGTGTCTGTGGGCGCGCACGCGATCTCGCGCGTTATTGGGCGAGCGGGCAGCAACATCAATGCCATTCGCGCAGCTACCGGCGCTCACATCGAAGTCGACAAGCAGACCAAGGGACAAGGAGAGCGCATTATTACAATCAAGTTAGTGGCCATAGCATTTTATTTCATTTCTCGGTACTTGGTGTAACGGACTGGTGTACGCAACCAGTCGTCCAGGCGCCTATTTTGCATGTGGTTTATTTATTTATTTCATTAATTCATTTACTTTGTTATTTATTAGTATTCTGAAATGATTGGCTCGTTCTCGGGTTGGTGTTCTGTGCCTGATTTCCCTACGAATTTCCCTGATTGCATCAGAGATGCTAGTTTAATCCGATGTGACTGCGGCGGCCTCATCTTGTGGCTGCACAAGATGTAACTTGCTCTTGTGCGGCCATAAGATGTACAACAGCAAGTGCTGCAACAGTCCATGCAGCACTTGATCTTGTACATCTTATGGCCTAATACCTGTACGAGGGAATCTCTACACATCCTATATAGCGCAGTCAAAGTGGGAAAATACTATTCAAAGTCAATGTAGTCCTAAAATAAAACAATCATCGACCCGTTAAGAAGCCTAATATCCCCGTTATGTTTTATTCAATCATATTATTGCAAAATATTAAATAATATTTCACGATACCCGAGAATGACCAGTAGAGAATTGGAGTTTACAAGTCGAATAAAAAAAAAGAAAATATTCGGTCGAAAGGTGTGAAATATTTACCAAAATTAATCGATAGTAACCAAAAGCAGCCGATAACAGACAGTTGGAATAATGTGCTATTGCTAATGTTTGCGCTGTAGGGGTTCAGCGGAAGCAACAAAGCAAGCGGCGAACCTGATAGCGGCGATGATCCGCGACCCCGAAGCGGACATCGCGGCGCTGCTGCCCCGTACGAAGTTGCCGCAACCCGCGCCGCAGCCCGCGCAGCCTAAGCCCGCAAAACAGCCTCTACCTAAGGTGAACACACATCATGAACCAGTCAACGGCTATTACTACCTGGTATTTAGTTCACTTTGCAAAATTAAACGTTAAGTTACTATCACTTGAATATAAGCCTTATACTTATATACGAACCGTCTATACTTCGTTTTATTTTGAATTAGACAAGAAAGTGTTGGGTCTTTTGTCAGGCACTATTTTATTCAGCTACTTTATAAGTAAAGCAATTTAATAAAAACCATAAAACAAAGTT